TGCAGACACCCACATCTTCTCTTCCGACGGACGGGTACTGCAACACCCTATTCTTCTTCTTCCTTCAAGAGCACGAGACCTCCGACGGCCGAAGAAACACAGAACATCCGAGGGCACCCTCCCCAGGACGCACGAGAGAGTGCAGCGAGCACGAAGAGCGCGAGAGCACCCTCCCAAAACCGACCTCGATATGAGGCCTCGGTCTGACCGCGCCCCCTTCCGGCCTACCCCGCAGGAGATCCTCGTCGTCCGGCCTTCGGGCACTACCTCTCGGGCCTCGGGCGGCCGATCGGGACGGGCCGGGCAGCCTCGAGAAGAGCCCTCGGCAAGGCGCAGCCGCCGAGGAGCATCCCGAGGCTGGAGGACAGCGGCGACCGAAGAGCACGCCCGAACACGTCTCTCACAGGTGCGCGCAGCTCTCAGCGCGCGGACGGGGTGGGCACGGCGCGAACCTCCTCCTCCTCCTCCTCCTCCTCCTCCTCCTCCTCCTCCTCCTCCTCCTCCTCCTCCTCCTCCTCCTCCTCCTCCTCCTCCTCTCCGCCTCCTCCTCGCCTCCTCCTCCTCCTCCACTCCTCCTCGCCCTCCCCCCTCACCCACCTCCTCCTCCTCCTCCTCCTCCTCCTCCTCCTCCTCCTCCTGTGCTCCTCCTCCTCCTCCTCCCTCCATCCTCCTCCTCCTCCTCCTCCTCACTCCTCTCCTCCTTCCTCCCTCCTCCTCCTCCTCCTCCTCCTCCTCCTCCTCCTCCTTCCTCCTCCTCCTCCCTCTCCTCCGCCTCCTCATCCCCTCATCATCATCATCATCATCATCCATCATCATCATCATCATTCATCATACATCATCATCATCATTCAGAATCATCACCAACCCATCACCATCACCATCACCATCACCATCACCATCACCATCACCATCACCATCACCAACACCACCATCACCACCATCACCATCATCACATCATCAACATCAACATCATCCATCATCATCATGCAATCAGCATCATCATCATCAACATCATCATCATCATCAAACCAGCATCATCAGCATCATCAGCTCATCAGCATCATCAGCAACATCATCATCATCACATCATCATCATCATCATCATCATCATCATCATCATCACACAGCAGCAGCAGCAGCATCATCATCATCATCATCATCATCATCATCATCATCAACATCATCATCATCATCATCAGCATCAACATCATCCTCATCCTCATCCTCATCCTCATCATCATCATCATCATCATCATCATCACGCATCATAGTCATCATCAATCATCATCATATCATCATCATCATCATCATCATCATCATCTCATCATCATCATCATCATCATCCTCATCATCATCATCATCATCATCATCATCATCATCATCATCATCATCATCATCATCATCATCATCATCATCAGCAGCAGCAGCAGCAGCAGCAGCAGCAGCATCATCATCATCATCATCATCATCATCATCATCATCATCATCATCATCATCATCATCATCATCCCCCTCGCCCGACGCGAGCGAGCCCGAGATCGAAGCACGACCCCGCGGCGGGGCCTCCGCAGGGCTGCGGCAGAGCCACTCGGACAGCCCCTCCACGTAGACGCCTCGGCGCTGGTCCTGGCCGTCGGCCACAGCGAACGGAGCGCAGCCGAAGGAGTCCTTGTCCTCGTCGTCGTGAACTCCTCCTCCTCCTCCTCCTCCTCCTCCTCCTCCTCCTCTTCCTCCTCCTCCTCCTCCTCCAGAAAACGTCAAGGGGGGGACTGGCTCAGGGGGCGGGGGGGGAACATCGACCTGGAATCGGCGATGCATCGCCGTAAATCTGCGATCTCAGACCCCTGAATCCCCAGAAATCTGGACCCCTTCCCAAGGCCCGGCTTTTCATCCTCAGTCGTTGTTTGACGGCCCCGAAGCCCGGTTAGGGCCCCCAGAGGCCGAAAATAGAGAGAAGCCTCCCGTCGTGATTTCTGCCACAACTCGAGGGGGTCTGGGACAGGCCCCCGACAGCAAATCCGCACGCTCTTGGACGGGGTGGGCTAGCGGGCCCCTGTCGGCGATCAGTGGGCGATGGGGGGGTGATGCGTCCCCCCCTTTCGGTGCTTGCCAGAAGTGCCCCTGGCCCAGGGTGCCCCCAGGATCTCCAGGGAGGCCCCACGGCCTCCAGAGCACCCCATCGCGAGGCCCGGAGGGCCCCAGGGGCTCCAAGACGGAGCGAGCAGCTGGAGGCACCTTAGGCCAGGGCCCCAGTGCGGGGGCGAGTGCGGGGTGCGAATGCGAAGTGCGAGTATGCAGTGCGAGTTTGGGCGACGAGTGCGAGGGGCGGCCGTGCGCCCCGAAATGGCTGCTAGCTAGAGAGGCACGATCGCTGCCCCACAGACATACACAAGCCAGGGGCACCTTCAGCAACCCCCCTTACGTTGCCCCTGACGTCGTCCAGTCACAGGACCGTAGTCGGGTTCGCAGCAGGCGCTGCCCCCCCCCTCTCAGCGGCGCACGACGCCTGCCCAGCACGAGTAGCTGCCGCTTTCGGGCTGCGCCTGCTGCTGGCTTTTTGGGGCTCGTCCCCTTCGAAGTTGCCCTAGTTTCGGATGCGCAAGCGGCGCCCTGGAGACAATGGGGGCTGAGAGAAGGACGAGGAGAGGAAAGAAGAAGGAGAAGAGAGGAAGGAGAAGAGAAGAAGAGACGGAAAGAAGAAAAGAGGAGCAGAGCAGAGGAGGGAGGGGAGAGAAGAGAGGCAAGCTACGTCCCCTGGCTCCTGCCCATCCCACCTATCCTCTCCCATGGCGCCGGATCCTCTTCTGCTCGCCGAGTCGATCGTCGGAGCGGGCCTCACTCCCTGAGTGGCATTTGCAGTGCTTGGCCCACCGCTTACAGGAGGCGGGGAAGGAGGAGGAGGAGGAGGACGACGAGGAGGAGGAGGAAAAGGAGAAGGAGGCGAAGGCCGACGACAAAGACGATAGCGACGACGCACGAGGACAAGAGAGCAGCAGAAGTGGCCCGGCGCGAGGACTGACACGTGGCCTGCTGGCGGCCATCCGCCCTGACACGCCGTCGTGAGAGGGCAGAGAGCGATTTCCAGGAGCAGATTCTGATGTGGAGGAGGGGGGATCAGCTCTGACCCGCGTGCAGAACGGATTCGTCCAAAAACTGTTTCTTTCGCAGGGTCGCGCGGACCGCTGCCAACAAACCGTCTCCCACTGCACGGGGAACGCTTCGCCTGGAAGGCCGCGACTCGCATGCGCAGCGCATCGGCTACGGCGCGTCGCCACGGGCTCGCCCCCCGCTTCCGCTGCCCCCTTTTGGAGTCCCGAAACGGTGCGATGACAGACCGCGCGGTGACCTCGAAATCCCCCAAGACCTCACTGCACGGTCCATCAACGCACGGTTTTGGGACCCCGGATGCCCCAGTCGCCCAAGACATCCTCGGAGAACGACCCGAGTCCCAAAACCATGCGGTGACCCCGAATCCCCACCGACTCACCGCACGGTGTGGTCACCACCCCGTTTAGGGACCCCCGACCCCTGCGGCCCCCCCTCCCTCCTCCATCCCCGCCCGGAAACCCATCAGCCCGGAGCCCGACCACAGAACTTCGCAGGACTCGGCCTCAATCGTTGTGCGAATCGAGAGGTCGCCTGGCAGACCGTGAACTCCAAAGCGAGCCAGCCTGCGGGATGCAGGCTCCTCGTGCGCGGAGATCGCAGCTGCGGCGGGAGCGCGGCAGGCGCCCCGGCGAGATCGTCATCCCCAAGTCGGGGGGGGGGCACGAAGGTGGGATGGGGGCGAAGGTGGGGTTGGAGGGAGACCAGCTCCGAACGGCCCCTGGAAGAAGGAAACGCGATGAACGGGAGCATCCAGCCTGGGGAAATCAAACCGTACTGACACTGCTACTCCCCGGGCCTCTCCCGGGGTGCGTTCCGACCTGGATTTCGCGGAAAATCCAGCGGTGGCGACGAGGGCATCCCAGGAAGCCCAAAAAAGGGGGGGGAACAACAAAAAAAAACGGAGGGTAGCGGTGTGGGTACCTGTTCCTCCTCCGACAGCTGGGCTTATGTTGCTCCCGTCGCACTCAAGGACCGCATCCCAGAAAGAAATTTCGAGCACCCAGAAAAGTATCGAAACAGTGTCGAACGAGTGTCGCCTCCCGGGAAACGACACGTGAAAACCCTCAAGTTACGGTACTTTCTTGGTGCTCGAAATTCTTCCTGGCGATCAAGGCTACAAACCAGGTTGGAACATCATCAAGCTGGGCCCCTTCCCCAGCCCCACCTCGGGATCACCCTCCCTCTGCGATGCCCCCCGGCCAGACCGCCGAAAACTCCGGGGGGGCCGCGACTGGCCCCACGAGGCGCGCCCTGACTTATTTGTCTTGCTGTTTTTGAATATGAATTTGCGGACGAACGTGCCCGACTAAAGGCTACACGCAAGAGTGGCCCCAGGCAAGAGTGACCTTTAAGTGCGCTGAGGGGGCGCAAGGTGGCCAAATCCAAGCGCGCAAGCAGCCACTACCGCATCGCGCTCAGCGGTCGGGGGGACCCCAGTGTGCCCGCACCAAAGGTCACTCTGGCGAAAGGTCACTCTTACGTCCAATCGATCTCCTCGCACCCCCACTTGCGGCAAGGGGCGCCCGGAGGGACGGAAGACGCTCCGAGGGAAAAGCCATGCACTCCTCGGCAGTCCGGGAGATCCCGCGCGGGAGAAGTCGTGTGCGGCGGAGGCGGGTGCACCACGGGAAGTCGTCGGGGGAGGGAGGAGTGGTGGCCATGGTGTGTGGCTGCGGAGAGGAGGGAGGATCCCACCAGCCCTGTGGGCGTAGGTGGTTTGACTAGTTAGCTCTTCCAACCTCTTCCTTCCCCCCAGGAGAGAGGTTTACCACTCCCCCTGCTGGGTCTGGAGGGGTCCGGTCACGATGCGTTGGAGGGTCCAAGATGGCTCAAGATGGCCCTAAGAGAGTCCCAGTTAGCTCAAGATGGTATGCAAAAGCACAGAAGATAGCGCAACATGATTCAAAAAAGCTTGCAATATCTCTTCATAAGGCGCCATGACCGTGCCAAGACGGATCCAAGTGGTCACGGAGCCTCCCAAGGACCCACCTTCTAAACCTTCGGGCAATCAATGTTTGTTGTTGTGTCGCCTTTTCGCTTCCGATGGGATCTTGAGGCTTTAGGACGGCTCCGTGATGGCCCAAGAGAACCCCAAGAGGGGCCCAAGAGGGGTCCAAGATGGCCCTACGAGCGCCCAAAGAGCGCCCCAGGAGCACCTCAAGAGGGCCCGAAGAGGTGATGTTGAGGGCTCCGACGAGGGGACTGCCACTAAGAATCCCCCTTTATTTAATCGATGAACTCCACGATGGCCCCAAGAGGCCCCAAATGCCCCCAAAAGGGCCCTAAGAGAGCCCCAAGAGGGCCCCCAGAGAGCCCTAAAGGAATCCAAAATGGCCCCAGGATGGCTCCAAGAGCTCCCTCCAGGTTTCTGATTCCACAACTGCTAGCCGCCTTGCTTCACTATATGCTTTCATACGCCTCTCCTCGAGACGAATCCACTGGGTATCGTTTCTGGATGGGCTCGTGGGGATTCGCGAAGCGTCAAGAATAGAAGGGAAAGGAGGGAGGAGGAGATCCTGGCGGATGGCGAGGTGAGACCGCTCGGGCTTCAAGAGGTCCGAGATCACCTGGAGGGCCGTGGTGTGCTGGGTCAGACCCAGGAAAGTGCGCGGCAATGTATTCCACATGCTCCCATTCTCGGCCTTATCCTGCTAATCGTCTTGCGCACACTCATCCTCCTCCTCCTCCTCCTCCTCCTTCTCCTCCTTCTCCTCCTTCTCCTCCTTCTCCTCCTCCTCCTCCTCATCATCACTATCACCATCACCATCACCATCACCATCACCATCACAATCACCATCACCATCACCACCACCATGGCCATGGCCATCGCCATCACCATCACCATCACCATCATCAGCAGCAGTATCATCATCAGCATCATCATGATCAGTATCATCATCAGCATCATCATCATCCTCATCCCCATCATCGTGATCATCATCGTCAGTAGCATCATCATCGTCATCATCGTCAGTATCATCAGTATCATCATCATCAGCAGCAGCAGCAGAAGCATCATCATCATCATCAGCAGCATCATCATCATCATCATCATCATCATCGTCGTCGTCGTCGTCGTCGTCGTCGTCGACGTCGTCGTCGTCGTCGTCGTCGTCGTCGTCGTCGTCGTCGTCGTCGTCGTCGTCGTTCAAGGTCGCCGCTTGGGCTCGAGTTGGGGACGCAGCGGCCTCCGTAGCACACGCCTTCAGGCCGAGAGCAGCGAGCAGAGGGCCTGGCACCGTGACCTCGCGCGGGGCTGACGCGCTGCGGGCTGCGCTCCAGACGGAGCTGGAAGCCCGCCATGGCGAAGCGGCAGCGGCGAATGAAGCACGCTGTGGAGCCCCCGTAGCGAGGCCGCGCTCACGAGGTCAGGCGCACCGCGCTCGGCTTCGACGGCGCCTCTTCTGGCCTGGTGCTGCCACTGACCCTCCGCCGGGCCTCGAGCTGCGAGAAGAGGACCGGCCAGATCTACGACACGCAGTTCTCCATGCCGACCTACCGCAGGGCGCCCACATAACCGACGTGGTACCAGAGTCCACGCCCATGCAGGGCCCCACCTCCGAGGAGAACTTGCACGAGAGGAAGCAGTCCAACACGCACCAGCCGCTGTGGATGCGCAATACCGGGGACGTCACCTACGAGGAGTACGCCTTGATCTATAAGTCCATTTCCAACGACTGGGAGGACCGCCTTGCTGTGAAGCGCTTCAGCGTCGAGGGACACATCGACTTCCATTTGCTGCTACTTGTCCCCGACGGGCCACGTCCGACCTGGTCGAGATCAAGAAGAAGCACAACAACATCAAGCTCACGTGCGGCGCTTCTTCACGCTAGACGACTTCGACGAGCTCATACCCACGTGGCTCAACTCCATCACGTGCGTGGTGGATTCCGCGGACCTGCCACTAGACATCTACCACGAGACTCTGTCTAAGGACAAGGTCCTGCGCGTGATCAAGAAACACCTTATCAGGAAGTGCCTGGACATGTACGCCGAGATGGCCAAGACGAACGACGACTACCTGAAGTTCTGGAGGTAACTAACTTACCTCAAGCTGAGCACGCATGAAGACTCGACCCACCGTACCAGCGACGAAGAGCTGATGTGCTATCACACCTCGACATCAAGGAACGAGACCAGCCGTCCGAAGGAGCACGAGATCAACGACACCTGCGACGCTGGTGCGGATGCTCCTTTCATGACCGACTCCATCGATGAGTTCATCCCTGCTGTCATCCACGACGCCATGAACCAATTCCTTGCTATCGAGATGAACCGCCACACGGGCACCAGCGAGGAGATTGTTTGCTTGGCCGTCGAGCGCGCGTACGACGCCACCGTCTCGCATCCCTTCTGGGAACAGGTCGGCGCGCTGATAGATGTCAATGCGTT